TATATATATATATATATATATATATATATATTTAAAAAGAAACAATAAAGAAAAGTATATTACATTATTTAGACTGTAAGCTCTTTGGGGCAGAGACTGTCTCTTACTGGGCGTCTCTATCATCCCTAGAGCAAAGGGACCCTGGCTGCTACAGTAATAAGATAATAATAATCATAAGGTACTTTCTGTTGCAAAATCATGGAGCAGATACTCTGGTGGCATCAAGCTGGGTCATTCCATTGAGTTCAAAGGAGCAACACCACTTTCCATCAGATGAGGATCTAGCCTTCTGTGTTTGAATTTGTTTATTTTTAAAATGGTTGTCTAGACTTTTAATAAACAAAACCAGTATGACTGTAGGGTTCTATGGTCATTTTTAGTGCTACAACGTAGCAGAGACATCAGTTATGTATCTGAGAAAACATCTGCTATACGCATTATAAAGGATATGAACATCATGAAATTATAGCTTTCTCTTTTTTCTTTACATAAAGCCTGGGGCATAAAAGGGATTTCCTCAGAGTTTTCCTGTGTATTAAAATTCAAGACCAGGATGCCACCTTGGTTTCCTCTTTTTCTACGTATTCAGTGAAAGGAAACGATTCTGGATCAAATCACATAGAGCACTGGAAAAAACAGAGTACTTTACATGCAGTCTTTCAAAAACTTAATTATCTATTAGACTGTATCTTTCTGTAGGAGGGATATAAACACATCCCATATGTTAATAGTTGGACTCTGTGGTTGACCTACAGCTCAAATAATCTATATTGTGATTAATGGTACACAGCTGGATACAAAATATGTTTGTTCCAAAAGCTGCCAGACAAAGGAGGATTCTATTTACCCTGCAGCAGGGACTCTGGGCAGCTAGAGCTGGGGCCATGGTACCTGCTCCATTCTCAGGCTACACCACCCAGCACTCCAGGGCGGAGCGTGCTGCAGCTGCACCGTCCACCCACTTTACACGCTAGTGCTGCCTGCATGGCATACTGGAGCTGCAGGTGCTACAGCCATGTGCCAGGACTGGGGTGCACAAGGGCTGAGGACTGCAGCGGGGGTGCTTTGGACTCCTGTGGGGGAGTAGGGCCAATAGTGAGGGAAAAGGGAGAGGCCTCAGGCACAGGGGGAAGGGCCATGGGCTAGCCTCCCCCAATGGCAAGGTCACCAGCTACCAATGATCATAGAACTTCCAATTTAATAACACACTACTGGTCTCATTCATGTTGACTGCAATATCATTGCAAAAGTGAGTTTAAAATATCCTGCGTTTCTGCCTAGCAGTAGGGCTGCCCAAAAAACAAATACTCCTGCTTCTAGAACTCACATGGGTGACAAATCAATACCCTAGAGGCAACCCAAGAAAAACATGCGAGATAGGTTGCTCTCTTCCTAAGGTCAGAGTCTGCTTCTTTTTTGCTCTACCCCAGGCAGGATAAAGCCTCAGGAGATGCCTGACGTTCAGTTGAAATGAAAAGTAATACATTTGATTTATGAGGCAAATGAATGTCAGAAGGGAACTGGAATGAGAAAGAGTTTCTTTGACATTATAACACCCCAGGCATTACAATATATAGGGGAAGTTCAGATCCAAGAAGAGATCAAACTGTATCATTGCTGAGAAGAATCCATTGGTCCAGTTTATAACTCCCTGAAAATAAAATCTTAATAATATGATGGAACATTTTCATTTCTATTGCCTTCCATACTCATTACTAGGGTCAGCACTATAAAATTTCCTGATTCTTCATTTCTTTAATTAAGATTCACCTCTTTTCAGACAGTGAAAATTGTGTGGAGTTTGATGCTGTCTTTGATTGCAAATCAATCATGTACATTTCGGCGCTAGAACACGGTGTATTTTAATGCACAATTAAACTTTTTTTATCTGTACAGTTAGAATTCTGGAAAGTAGAGATGGCTTTGGGGTTTGTCTGGTTGTGTGGGCGGGTGGGTGGGTGGTGAATTTTTTGTTTTTGTGTCCTACACCAGCAATCGTTTCTTGTAGCAATCAAATTAATGAAAAACATGACTGAATTCTTCCAAACC